GAAAAAAGTATTCTTTTGATAGGGATTGATACGTACAATATTTAATAAATATTGTTAATTAACTTATTTCATAGTCTCAACTATGCTATTAAAAATACATTTAAGTATACCTGAGACAACTATTTTATAATAAGTTAAAAATTCTGTACTTCAATTATTTTCATTCTTTATCTAATTTTTTTAGCATTTGACTGGTGTTTTATAGGCATATAATGGATAGGATTTTTACTGAAGTAGCATTTACATTCTTTTGAGTCATTGTCTCACTTGGTCACTCAAGCTGGAAGGTAGTGGCACACTCATGACTCACCGCAGCCTTGACCTTCTGGGCACTGGTGGTCCTCCTGCCTCAGCCTCCTGAGTAATTGTGATTACAGGCATGCGCCATCACACCCAGCTAAGTTTTTGATTTTTGTGGAGATAAACTCTTGGTATTTGCCCAGTCTGGTCTCTAACGCCTGAGCTCAAGCAATCATCTCACCTTGACCTCCCAAGGTGCTGAAATTTCAGGTGTGAGCCACTGTGCCTGGCCCAGAATTTACATTCTAGTGAGTATTTTAGCACATTTAACTCATGGTGTCTATGTCTTTGATGAATCTCCACTCAGTAGGTGGGAACTAAAATACCGTTTTCTAAAATTTTATATTGTGCATTTCATTAGTTTTCATAAATTTGCTTCAAAATTCCTAATAACATCAAGTCTAGTATTTCAAGTTAATGGAAATGATTTGGTGTGCAGTGAGATGAGGAACGACTTAAGTTTCTGAATTATTGCTGTGTAAAAACAGAAGAGTTAGTACATGCTCTTTTCTCATTAGACAAGATTGATTCTTGATTTCCAGACAGGAGAATGTGAATTTTGTTTAATGTTTATTATACAAATAAAATTACATATTAAAAGACTTTTAGGAATTGCCTTAGGTACTCTTTGTGAGATATTTAACAACTTTAACATCATTAAACTTTCCTAAATTTAATAGTTTAGATTGATGTTAATTTCTCAGTGATCTTATAGTCACTTATGTAAACAAATAGGAAACAAGTAAACAGAGATGTAAGTATGACATTCCCTTGGCAGAGGTTGTAGATGGGAGGAGGTGGGATGCATAACCTTTTTCAGATAACACAGCTCCCAGTTTTTTTTCTTCTTGTCCTCCCTTGCAGACTCTCCATTCTCCCTGTACTCTTTTTGATCCTCTGTGACTATAATAAGCCACTGTTGCAAAGAGGTCTGTGATTCTTCTTTTTCTTTAAAAAAAATTTCAGTTGCTTTATTAGGAAAATGATTACATTTTATCAGTTTATTTTCTTTAATGAGTCCACAAATGGACAATTTTGCAATTCCTACATTCCACAGAACTTGTGTTTAAAGAGAACTTACGTTTAAAGAGATGTATTTGTGGCCATCCTGAAGTACATACGTTACCTAAATGAATTGCTCAAATGAAGTTGATGGGACTTTCCAGGGAAAATTTTATACTCATTCATCCTCTGAACAAGACTTGGGGGTGTTGTTGTTGAGTTGTAAAAGTTCTTTATATATTCTGGTATATCCAGATCTGGGTATTGTCAGATGTATAATTCACAAAAATTTTCTCCCATTTGTAGGTTGCCTTTTCACTTTCTTGATAGTTTTCTGTGATGCACAAAGGTTTTTAATTTTGATCGAGTCCAAGTTACCTAATTTTTGTATTTGTTGCCCATGCTTTTGGTGTCAAATCTAAAACTCCATTGCTGAATCCAGGGTCTTGAAGCCCTATGTTTTCTTTTAAATCTTTTATGGTTTTAGCTGCTATATTTTGGTTATTCATTTTTCGGGTTAATTTCTGTATACAGTGTGAGATTGGGACCTTACTTCAATGTTTTAAATGTGGTAATTCAGCTGTCCAGCACTGTTTCTTGAGGAAGGTATTCTTTCCCCATTGAAGGAACTTGATATCCTTTCACAAAAAGTATCAGTTGGCTATAAATGTATGGGCTTATTTTTTTTACTGACAGTTCTGTTGTATTGGTCTATATGTCTGTTGTTCTGCCAGTACCATACTGTTTTGGTTACTTCAGCTTTGTAGTAAGTTTTAAAAGTGTAAAGTGCTGGGCTCGGTGGCTCAGCCTGTCATCCCGCGCCTTTGGGAGGCTGAGGTGAGTGGATGGCCTGAGCCCGTGGGTTCGAGACCCGCCTGGGCAGCGAGACCTCATCTCTACAATAAAGCATAAAATCAGCCGGTCGTGGTAGCGTGTACCTGTAATTCCGGCTACTCGGAAGGCGGAGGCGGAAGGATCGCCGGAGCCCAGGGTCGAGGCTGCGGGGGCCGGGAGCGGCCACTGCACTCCAGTCTGGGCCACCGAGTGAGACTCCAACTCAAAAAACAAAAAAGTGTAAAGTGTGAGTCTTCCAGGTTTGTTATTTTTTGAAGATTCTTTGACTCCTCCAGGGCCCCTTGAAATTCCATGAGGATTTGAGGGTTGTCTCCTTGCAGTTGGAGCCGCATCCTGTCGCCTGGGCGCCGTGTAGCGCGAGAATCCTGACTGCCTCCGGCTTCCACCCGCCAGGCTTAGGCTGCGTGAGACGGCCGGCACATGTCATGCCTGGCGGGTCTTTGGCTTCTCGCTGTTTGTGGAGGCGAAGTCTCGGCCGCGCTGCCTAGGCTGGTCTTGAGCTCCTAGCTCCAAGTGATCCTCGTGCCTCGGCCTCTTGAAGTGCTGGGATTACGGGCACGAGTCACTGCCTCCAGCCAGGCTTTTCCATTTCTGGAGAAAAGGCTGTTGGAATCATACTGAAGCTATAATTTGTTCTGGGTAACGTTAATGTCTTAACAATATTAAGCCTACCTATCCATGAACGTGTGATGTCTTTCCATTTTTAGGTCTTCTATAACTTATTTGTCAGTGTTTGTATATATAAAGTTTTCAGTATACAAATCATCTGCCTCTTTGTTTAAATTTATTCTTAGATATTTTGCTTTTTAGATACTTTAAAAAATTTATTTAATTTCTTAAATAATTTTTTGGATTTTCACTGCTGGTTTGTAGAAATAAAACTCAGTTTTTGTGTTAAAATATCACCAAAAATATTAAATTATTAGGAATACATTTTACAAATGTTGTAGAAGACCCATATACTGAAAACTACATAACATTTTTGAGATTCACTTATGGAGACCAAAATAAATGGAGAGATTTACAGTGTTTATGAATCAGAAGATTCAGTGTTTTTAAGATGTCATTTTTTCCTTATCTGTTAATTCAGGGCAATCCTCATTAAAATATCCGCAGCCTTTTTTTTTTAATAGAAATTGAGAAGCTGATTTTAAAATTTATGTGGACATATGTAAATCCGGCATTAGCTAAAAGTGTTTTGAAAAAGGATATAGTTTGGGTACTTAACTTGTTTTCAAAACTTATAAAGTTACAGTAATCAAGGCAGTTTGTTTTTAGCAGGAAGAAATGATATATGACAATGCAACAGATTAATAAGAGTTGAAATATATCTATATCTATAAGCAATTGATTTTTGGCAAAGGTGCCGAGACAATTTCACTGAAGAAAGGATAATTTTTTCAACAAATGGTGCTGGATCAATTTGATATCCTTTTGCCAGTGAATCTAGTCCTTTGCTTCATGCCATAGAAATAAGCAAACTTGAAGTGGATCATATACCTACAAGTAAAGCTAAAACTATAAAACTTCTCTAAGACAACAGTAGAAAACTCTAATAATTTTAGGTTAGGAAAATACTTCTTAAATAGGTCACAAAAAGCACAAATTACATAATTTAAACATGGATAATTTTGACTTCATTAAAATAAAAAGCTTTGCTCTTCAAAAGAAATTTAAGAAAATTAAAAAAACCAAAGACTCTTAGAAAATATTTGCAATACATACTTCCAATCAAGGCTATTTGTCCAAAATATACAAATAACTCTCACAAGCCAGTAATGAATCAAATAGTTTAGCAAAAAAGAAGAGTAAAATATCTGAATGGACACCAAAGAAAGTATACAGATAGGAAATAAGCAAATGAAAAAATCTTCAACATATTTTGCCATTAGAGAAATGTGAATTAAAATTATGAGACACACGTGAGAATGGCTAAATTAAAAAGACTGACAATGCCTAGTCCAAGGTGCATGTGGGACAAACAAACATCTTAAACATTGCTGGTGGGAATAGACAATGTTAAAGTCACTTTAGAAAACAGTTTGACAGTGGTTACAAGGCCAAACATGCATTTACCATGTGACACAGCCATTCCATTTTCTTGTGTATTTATCCAAGGGTTATGAAAACATGTCCACACAAATGTTCAGAGCAGCATCATTCATGGTAGCCAAAAACTGCAAATCACTCAGGTGTCTATCAACTTGTGAATACATAAACAATTTGTGGCCTATACATACAATGGAATCCTGCTCAACAATAAAAAGGAGCATGTTACTAATACAGGCACCAGCATCGATGCATCTCAAAAACCGTATGGGAAGTATTTCTTGCAGATTCTAGAAAAGGTACAGCTCTGGTGGAAAGCAGAGCACTGGTGCGAGAGAGTTGGGTGAGGGAATTGACTGCATACAAATGTCAGGAGGAAGGTTTATCAGGTCATTGAAATTTTCCATTTCGAGTTTGGAGGTAGTTATGTGACTGTATATATTTGTCAGAACTCATTGGTTAATTTTATTCATTGTAAATTTTCCCTCAGTAAAGCTGACCTAGAAAACTTTTTTTAAAAAATTAAGCTTTAAGTCATGAAAAGATTAGATGGAATAACTGGTTTTTTTATTTTTCTGGATTTTCATAAACAAGGGTCTACAGTGTCTTTGGTAGGAAAAAGAAAAAGGTCATTTGTAAGATGCAGCTATCTAGCCTCACTTGCTAGTTGAAGGTAAAAATTATGTTTGGATAAGAGTAGTAATTTTGCCTAGTAAAAAGTAGCATGATGTTTTAAAAAACTGTGTTTACGTTTTCAGCTTCTTAACTATTATCATCATTTAAATTGACTTTAGAAATATAAACCTGGTCGATGTGATGATATTTTGAAATGGAAGCCTCCTAGTCTGAATTCTGTGGATTTTCGTCTAAAAATAACAAGAATGGGAGGAGAAGGGTAAGTATGCACTTTTGTTTCCAGTGACTTTTGCATGAAATAATAACCATTTGTATAAGACCTTACTATTTACAGTATATTTAACATATGCTTTACTATATTTTTTTAAAAACTAAAATACTTTATTTTACAATATACTTTACATGTATACGTATATCGCATTTTCAGATTACTCTTTTGACCTATGACAGCTAAAATTTTGTAGCATCCTTTAAACTTTACTAACTTCAGTCTTAAAATCTTTTTTTAAAAATGGATATAGTTATTAATAATATAAAACTGAATTTTGTTAAATTGTAAAAGTGAAAATAGGCCTCACTCAAAGATAATTCTATCAAAGGATCAAGTGAGGTGTGATCATTAGTATAGTTAAATGTATTGAAATGTCTTTTTTAACTTTGAAGGAAAGCACTTCATGTTTGCATTTGCACTACAAATATTTATTCATACTTTTGTATGATAAGATTTTAATTGTTGACTGTCATTAAGATTTTTCATATTGTTCATTTTGTTAACCCTTTTGTTTATAGGTTCATTTTCCTTTTATGACTTTATAGGTGGCTATGTTCGATTAAAATATTCTTTAACATGAATATTTTGTTTTTCCAAATCCTTGTTTTATTTCGTTTTGCTCCACAAATTTTCAAGGCTTTTTATCTAAGTGAATGCATCTAACAAAATAAGACATGCTTAATCAAGGAAGTCATACAGAAAGCAAATAAGATAATGCTAGCAAAGAGATTAAAGTTTACCCGTGCATCCCATGAAATTCTTTTTACTTGTCAGAGATAAGATACAGATATGCTTTTTGGTAGCTAATGGAACAAAGGCTGTGTTGTCAATTATAGGAGTCCAGACTGCATATGAGTAACGGTCTCCTAGAAAGACTGCCGTTTCAAAGAAAGGAAACTGTCAACGGAGCAAATTCTAAGTAGTAAAAGGGGGTTTAATAAGCCAAATGGGTTTTAGTGTTTTTAAAAAATAGGGTATTTAATATTTTATTTTACATCCTTAAATGTTTGTTGCCATTAGAATGTAATGGCGCTGGGCTCGGTGGCTCAGCCCGTAATCCCACACTTTTGGAGGTTGAGCTGAGTGGATTGCCTGAGTTCGTGGGTTCGAGACCCTCCTGGGCAACTTGGTGAGACCTCATCTCTACAATAAATCAAAAAATTAGCCAGGCATGGTAGCGTGCACCTGTATTTCCAGCTACTTGGAAGGCTGAGGTGAAAGGATCGCTGGGGCCCAGCAGGTCGAGGCTGCAGTGGCCCAGAGTGTGCCACTGCACTCCAGTCTGGGAGACAGAGTGAGGCTCCAACTAAAAAAAACAACAAAAAAAAGTAATGGCAAAAATTGTTAAAACAAGTATCTCAGCTCTGAAACAGTTATTGAGCTCTGTATTAGTCTGATTTTAATCCAAGGATCGATACATTTTAGACTGTTTATAGGAATAGGTGGAATGTGCGCACGCACACGCGAATGATTTTGGTTAGTTTTCAGACATTTTTGTCTCTTACATAAATAGTGGATAGATGTTGATACATAGTACTTGCAAGATTATTCTTCCTGACTAAGTGCCTAGTATACAGATATTCTTGGTTGGCGGTTAACTGTGCAACTGTACATCAGTAATTATGCAGGCTGGGTGTAGGCCTAATATGTTTTTCTGAAAGTACCTTATGAAAGATTACTTCACTACTAACAAAGTGGAGAATGAGGAATTTGACTGGGGCTACACTTTGGTTTTTAAAGACTCAGATGGGTATAGTTCTTTGAAAAATAAGACTTCAAAGATGTGAAATTTGTTAAATTGCTTAATTATTAGATCTTTTTTGCCCAATGCTATATTTATAATATTTGGTTAAAGAGTATAGGCTCTTGCGTGTTTTCTTGATTGTTTCAGTGAACTTTGAAAAATCATTTAGTTTTTTCTTTTACAGATCCTAATTCTTATTAGCACTTAAAAGCTGCATGAGACTGAATATAGAATGCCCATCTCTAGTAGCAAAAAATGAAAAAATTTTTTTGCAGCTGCCTATTATAATGTATATATGATGTAGCAAAATGTAATTCTGTTTAGTTGTCATCACAGCTTTCCTTTTATATTCATAGGATATTTTGAATATGTTTTGTTCTTTTTGGGGATGATGTTTCCTTTTTTTAAAACTCACTTAAGAAAATATTTTAAAGAGTGGGGTATAATTCAGGATTAGGTACATAAGTGGTCATCGTACAGGTGAAGTTTGGGGCTACCATTGGTCCTCACGTAGCCTGGTTAAGGATCAGGTACCCTTGTTGATGTTAACGTATCCTGTCCCCTGGCAGGGTCGTGCTACTGCTAGTCCCTTTCTTTAGTATTATGATCAATGTTTGGGATCCACTTATGAGTGAGAACATATGGTGCTCAGTTGTTTCTGTGATAGATCACTTAGTATGGTGGACTCTAAATCCATCCAAGTTGCTGCGAAGTCCATAATTTTGTCCCTCTTATGACTGTGTAATATTCCATTGTGTACATGCATCACATTTTAAATATCTAGTCCAGTTTTGATGTGCAGCACAATTGGTTTCATGTTTTTGCTGTTGTGAATAGTGCTGTAAATATGCATGCTCAAGTATCTTTATCGTAGAATGATTTGAGTTCCTCTGGGTATATTTCCAGAAGGAGGATTACTGGGTCATATGAAAGGTCAATTTTTAGATCTTTTAGAAATTGCCACAATGTTTTCCACAGAGGTTGTATTAACTTACACTCCCACCAACAGTGCAGTAACATTCCCTTTTCTCCGTATCCTCTCCAGCATCTGTTGTTTTTGATTTATTGCTGATGGCCATCCTGACTGGAGTGAGGTAGTATCTCAGTATGGCTTTGATTTGCATTTTTCTTTGGTGATTAGTGATGCTGAGCATTTTTCCATGCATCTGTTGTCTGCTTGTATGTCTTCTTTTGAGAAGTATCTATTCATGTATTGTGCCCACTTTTTAATAGGGCTGTTTGTTTTTTTCCTTTTGACACGTTTGAGTTCCTTATAGATCCTGGATGTTAGGCCTTTGTCAGATATATAGTTGGCAGGTATTTTTCTCCCATTCTGTGGGCTGTCTCCCTACTCTCCTGATAGTGGTTTTTTGTTGTTGTTGTTTTTGCTTTGTAGAAGCTTTGCAGTTTGATGAGGTCCTACTTATCTATCTTATCTTTTATGGCACGGGCTTTTGGAGTGTTGATCAGGAATTGGTTGCCTATTCCAATGTCTGTAAGGGTGTCTCTTGTGTTTTCTAAGATTCTTATAGTTTGAGGTTTTATGTTTAGGTTTTTTGATCCATTTAGAGTTAGGTTTTGTGTATGATGATAGGCAGGGGCCCTGTTTCAATCTGCTGCATGTGGCTGGCCGGTTTTCCCAGCATCACTTACTGATTAGGTTCTCTTTTCCCCAGTGTTAGTGGAGGCTTTGTTGAAGATGAGTTGGTTGAGAAATTGAGGTTTTGCTTCCGGAATCTCCATCCTGTTCCATGGGTCTGTATGTTTGTTCATGTACCAACACCAGGCTGTTTTGATTATTGTGGCCTTATAAGTATAAAACCTGGAAGTGTGATACCTCCCGCTTTGTTATTTTGCTGAGGATTGTTTTGGCTATTTGTGACTGTTTATGTTCCCATATGAGTTTCTGTGTTATCATTTCTGGGTCTGAGAAGAATGAGGCTGGTAACTTCATGGGCATCGCATTGACGCTGTAGATTGCCTTGCATAGGAGGGACAGCTTCACCATGTCGATTCTTCTAGTCCGTGAGCATGGGATCTTTTTCCATCTGTTTGTGTCTTCTGGGATTTCTTTGAGCAGGGTTTTGTTGTTTTCGTTGTAAAGGTCTTTCTCTCCTCTGGTTAGGAGGATGCCAAGGTATTTCATTTTTGTGTGTGGCTATTGTGAATAGGATTGTGCTTTTTATTTGGTTCTCTGTTTGTTCTTGGTGTATAACAATGTGACTGTCTTTTTGTTCCTTTAAAATTTTACCTATTTATGTCTAATTACAAAAAAAAAGAATTATTTTTGATTGTTGTGTGTAGTGCATCTTTGAAACACTTCAAAATGTCACTGTTTAAGCTGATTTTCAGATAGGGATTTGCAAGTTCCATTAGTGTAGTTACATCATTTATTTGAGCAATGAAAGGGTCGTCTGAGGCAAGGTAGCCCCGAGCTGGTGCTGGGACTGGGAACAATGCGAGATTGCAGCCAGGTAAGAAAGTAGAAAGAAGTAAAGTTCGTTATTCACTTTTCACAGATTGGAAAGGGGCTGACACTCAGAGGCAAGTGTGGCCTCGAAGGGCCATGAAATGGGTATTTTTAAGGGCCTTTGGGTAGGGGGATTTGGGCCGAAGGAGTGTCCAGGGCTGTGGGTCTTTGATGCTGATTATAGTTGCGAGTCTTAGGTCTTGCGGTCCCCAGACATGAGCATTTCATGCCCTCAGGTGGGGGCCAGATGGCAGGAGATGAGGGGAGGGGCTTTCCTGCAAGAGACCTGTCAGACCTTTGCAGTCCACAAACCCCTTGACCAAAAGGTGGTCTTATCATTTCTATGGTTCTGTTGTTGTGTCTGATGGCTATTAGCCAGTTGTGGGGTAGGCTGCCTCTTAGCCTGCGGTAGAATGTCTGAACGCTTCCTAAAACCTGCCTATCGGAAGTTTATTTATCTATGCCCAACCTTTGCTAGATTCAAGCGTGTCAGGGGTAAAGTTTAGCAAAAATGGCTGTGCTGAGGTAGAGTCTATGCTAAACTAAGTTTATTTATTTTATTATTTTTTATTTTTTTGAGTTGGAGTCTCACTCAGTCACCCAGCCTGGGGTGCAGTGGCTGCTCCCGGCCACCGCAGCCTCCACCTGCTGGGCTCTAGCGATCCTTCTGCCTCAGCCTTCCAAGTAGCTGGAACTACAAGGTGCGCGCTACCACGCTCGGCTAATGTTTTGATTTTATTGTAGAGATGAGGTCTCGCTAAACTAAGTTTATTC